TGACACGCAAGTCCACAGTCTGTTGACTTCAAAATTATGATTGAACTGCGAGGCAAACATTTGTCAATGAGTTTTGTCTGGACTCAGCATACGTTTTTATCTGCAACTGATAGTTTATGAGCTTAGCAACTCATTACAGACACGTTCGAGGTAGTAAATATTACTGTGTTGAAAAACCTAGGCGAAATTTCTTACCACTTCTAATAGTCTCCGATTCTCTTTAATGAGATTCAAGCTACCTACCTTAACTTAGGGACTTCTCCTAACCTTTATAGCCAGCTAGTCTTCTATCTCGAACCTGTCTGACATTTCCAAAAAGTGGGCCTTGTTTGAATTTTTAACGTGTAAGGGCACATTCGCTGAACATGACAAATTCGTCATTTATTACCTTACTTTTGGGCAAATGAACATTCACATCATCACAAAGAGCTGGAAAATCGTTTTAATGCGTTCTATGCCAATCAAATTTTATCATATTAATAGGTTATTTGTTTACACATGCAATTATTTTACCAAATTAGAGACCGGTTTCATTCGTAAATTCCCTCGTTTAAGTTCTTAAATAAAAGCCTGGACAGGGTCAAATTACGCAATTTATGGACGCTTCGGTAGTGCGTAAGCTGTAGCAGACCCAAATTAGCACCACCGCAAAACCCTATAGATAACAGGCGGTCACAATCCGAGGAGAAGACCATGAGTCAACTGAGAACACGACCGTTTATTCGCGTCACGCCAGTCAAGTCAAGTCGAGTAAAATCGATTAACTAACTTCTCTGTGCGGATCGATACGCGTGCGTTACACGCGACTGCTAACAAAAAACCAATAACACAGGTGGTGAGTCATCGATACGGTCGGGCAAGCACACACGCAGCACTCACGCGCGCAGTGGCTGTCTGTCTACTGCAGTGCATTCACGAAAAAATCGATTGATTTGAGTTCGCACACAAATGCTAACCTTGCTGGCTTGGTGGTCGCAACAAGGTGTAAACACACCGTGCATTTACCAAAAGGCAACACTGAAGTCGTAATACTGGAACTATTTGCGGAATTATGGGATTAAGCCTCCTAACCAGTAGGTTGACGGATTACAAATTAAAAATTGATTATCACTGACTCAACTATTGACAGCAGGGGACAGCTTGGAGCGGTAGTCCAACGTGGTTTAAGCAGTCACAATGTTATTGCCATTTCAGGAAGGCACGTTCAATTTTCGTGCACCATTTGAGGTGGGCGCGCGGTGAGGCAAGATCTGATAACCATAAAGGAATGTACACCCAATTTGACCGCATCGTTCGAGAATGTATAATTTAGTGGGGTGCTATACTGGATCCACACACTACCCGTGCCACACACACGAAGCCAAATAAAGGAACACTTTACTCATATAAAAATATATTTCGCGATGATAGATCCTGTTCCCGAGGAATCTAGGCAGCGCCTACAAAAGAAATACACCCTTTACAATTAATTTATATACTTTAGATACGACTGTAAAAAGCACTAACACTAGTGAAATCCTTACCCAAAGTCATTCTGTCACCAAAAGGCATATTAATGACAATTAAGCAGGAGTTAATTAATAGTAATGCTGTTGGTTCATCCTTTTTTGCTGGACAATTATTTACCTTAACTGAATCCGCGATACAGGATGTCCAACGAAGTTACACCGATGTATAACTGATCCTGAGTGCTATCGACCAACAACACACACACACATAGTGGTTTAACTCCAGTTGAAATTGTCGTTGGATTCCGAGGAGTCAGTTATTCCATTTGCACCGTACTTCTTCAGTACATTAATCGATTATCATTAAATATCAGAAAAATTCGCTGATTGAATGTTTCTGCGGCGTTGCTGCGAGTATCACTATGCTTCGACTTTAACCTGTCTCGATGTGTGAGAGAGAGCCTACATGCATTCATTAATTTTGGGCAAATAATGTGAAAACTTTTAGCAATATTCAAATTGGCCGGAATATTTATGGGTCGCGATCATTCAAACCACATAAATTTGTAACTTGTGCGAACCAAAAAAAAATCACAGGACCATAAAGAAAGCATCATTTGCATGCGCACACTTGCCAATTGAGCCTAGAAAAATACCACAAAATAAATGCGCGTTTTTTGCCTGAAAGGCTTCAACAATCAAAGGGAAAAAGTTAGCCAAAGAAGCCCTTGAAATGGCTGTCGGTTGGAGAAAGGCGAAGTGCTTTTTTTAACCCGTGTGTACTATTTATGGAGGCCTGTTTGTTTTGCCAAAGTTCCACAGCGCCAAGGACGTTTGTGGTTTGGCGTGGACAAGGTCTAACACGGTGGCAGAGTCATTGTTTTCTTGGCTAACCATAGTTGTAGAACAATATTTTTTAAATGCACCGTTACGCTGTTAGCCAGGTACTTACATTTTTGGGAATTATTAAAAAAGTCTGATCTTTACCACTAATATTAAGATGTTGCAATCGTTTGCAAATAACACTGATACGCTTTGCATGAGATTGATAAAATGTTGCAGCAGGCACCAACCTAATTTGTTAACCTGAATAATTTACCACTTCAAATGTCGACAGGACTAAAGCTCTCAGGTTAGGCACTTAGAGGGTCTCTGTATTTGTACATTTGTGAAGTTATACAGTAGGTTAGGTCAATATGCACAACGTAGTTCATTCAGAAACATAAAGGACTTCAGACTTTCTTTTTATTTCCTTTTAATAATCATGTGCTTTGAAAGGGATATTTTAAAAATTGCCACTTAAACATCTGAAGGATATTAACGAACTCGAGTTTAAATGTGTCGTGAAACGCGTTTATTCACACCCATTAATCCGGTCGCTCTACCTCCGACACAGGGTTCCCCTTTTCGCAGCATGTCGCCAGCCACGCGAATCCTCAACTCTCCCTTCATTAGCACGAATATTTATCTTGGAGTATTTCCACACCTAGGTCTCGATGTTAGCGCATGTATGACACATATCTGAGGTATAAATACACACGCACAAACCCCACACACGACACAACGACACCGGTTTTGGTTGAGCTCTGAAGTAAACGGTTGTGTCCGTCCTCCCCGGTCGTTTTCCTTCATCGTGGCCCCGGCGTGGTTCAAGACCACATGCTGGGGCCCACGACAAACGTTTGCTATTGAAGGGTGATGTGAAATCTGATGTGGCGGGGGGAATGTGATATGATTTAATTGGTCTACGTGAAGGCACTTTACGTAACTGTGTTCGTTCAGGGATCGGTGTTTAGCCGATCCTATACAAAATGACTTGTTTTCTTGTTCACCGACACTCACCCCTTCTGGTATAATAAATTAGTTGAGCTACGCACCATCCGCATTCCCTACTCTTCTTTCGGTCGGTGTGTGAATTGTTGACCTCGTCGTGGTTCATAACAACACGCTAGGGCGCTCAAACCGGTAAAGACAACGTGTTTTCTTGATGTCAAATTCAAAGGAGAAAAATCAATCTTTTTTAAACTTGATCAGAGAAAGTAGATTTGAAGAATAAAACTGTGGTATTCAAGCGTTTGCAAATCAGACGACAGGTTAAGAATCAAAGAGAAGGAGAAGAAAGAAAAGATTTCCACACTTACTAAACGAAATTGCGCTTGCTTTTGCTTCAAACGTCGTCTAGTTTGCATATGTCTTTGGAATCAATTTCGTCCACGAATGCAACTGATCTTTGGACTCTAAAACAACAAAATTCAAAAATATCGGTCAGTTAGGGTGTCAATAAAGCAAATTATTATAGAAAATTGAAAGAAAATTGCAAGGTCTGCTAAATTTAGACCATGGGCCACCTCATGATTATGCAGAAATACTTAGGTAGGTCAAGTTATAGCAAAATGAACACAAAGCGCATAACTGATGCCTCAAATGTCGAGCCCTTGCAGTGGATCGGTCAATCCAAGTCTGCCACCTCCTGCTTGCCATGTCCACTTCCATCGGACATTGTGCACTCAGCCTCACCCACATCTTTGCATTTTATCGCCCAAAGCCTCTTTATCTTATCTTTTACCCGACCTCTTTCGGTAAGAACTAACATTAAACATTGCCATTACGACCACTAGCGATCGTGTTCAAGCATGGCGGTCTAATCAAGTCACCTAGCAGATCCAGATTGTGTCCGGTTCTTTCGAACACCTAGGAGTGACTAGATATTTGGCTTAGGGCATTACAATTTTGTCCTGTTGTGTTTCTGGGGCCAATGGGGCAGCTCCACATCTCCATTGAATCGTTTTGTTACCCTTTAAAACATGTGTGGACCTTCTTAAAAATCGATCAGTCAGAACACACTGCCGTACATTATTCCAATTATCAAGGCAACAAGAAGCACTTAACCGACCCACTACCTGCATTATTTGGGCAAAATATTCGAACAAAACTTGGAGAACATTTTGGTAAATAAAAGCAAATAAGGATACTGAATTTTAAAAAAATGAGCTTTAGCTGTCACCGTGTTGACAGTCACATTAAAAACCTATTTACTTAAATTATTTCCTTGATTTAATTCATGTTCTCAAACATGTTGCATACAGTGAGCTGATATTGACTCCCTTCAAGTGCGTTGGTTTGAAAACTCTGGTTATTTTCAAAATACTACGGAATTCACGTCGCCAATATTAAAGTCCACACTAATTAGTTCGTAGCGGAGTGGTATTTTGAGTTTAAAAACAAGTTTTGGCATGCCTGTCTCCCACATACCTTGCGTGTTCAAATTTAATAAAACGGCATGCGTTTTGCGCATAAGTAGCGCATTGTTTAATTATGCGGCCTAATTTTAATTGTTTAAACTCGTCAAATCTCAGTTCACTTTGGCTACCTTCCGTCTATCGGCGTCTTTTGCAAAAAAAACATCTCTATGCTTTGGAAAAGAACTTCGTATCAGTTTGCCGCTCTTGGCGACTTCTTGAAGCTCTACTTCATTTAGCTGCTAATTTTCATCTTGTGCGATTTACTTGTGATAAAATAACACACCATGACAAATTTTATAAGCAGCCAAACTCACTGTGAGCGCTTCCCAGCACTTTGTGAGTCCGCTTCTTTGGTTTCCACCTTCTTAATGGCCGGTTTTATTTTCACCGACGTGGCCTGCTGCACCGGGGCGTAGGCCTCGACGCCAACGAAGTTCTCCTCTGTTGTCGGATATCGTTGCATGATGGATGAATCGGCAGTTAGGTTGGCCCGTCGCTTCAACGACGCGGAGTTGGGCGCGGCAGGCGGTGGTGCCTCGTTGGCGTCGTGGAAGGCGGACTTGCCGCTGGGAGGAGGAGCCGGTGGAGGAGGGGGCGACGCCCGAAGCGACAGGGCAGCCAAACTTGCCACCAACTTTGGAGATGCGCCGCATGCCTGGCGGCGGTGATCCAGTGGGGATTTCCGTGATGCCGACTTGGTGCAAAGCAAGCACGTCAGAATATTTATCAAATACTCAAACAAGCCAACAATAAACGTGTTCTGCGCTCCGTGGACAGCCAGACTAAGCCTGCTGAAGGAGTTACTGGTAATCCGTTAAATAATTTATGAGCAGGTAAGTTCATATTAGCAATACTGAGCAGCAGTATTGCATTTGAATATCTGATTTAAAAGCCTTTGACGAATCACTAAATAAACATTGGTTAAATGTGAAAGATTTAAAGTAGATATTAGTTTACTTTTAAGGTTTGCAGATTTACTTCGACACACAAATCCTCTGCTTCTAGGAATCGCACACCCCGAGACCTTGATGAAGTTTGAGGAATATTTTGTTGATGATTATCGCTTCCTAAATAAGTGGTCAAGATCCAGCAACTGTGGTCTAAAGGCTCAGTGATAACCTTTTATGCATGCAGTAAGCGCACTTTTATAGTTGTCAACTTGGCTAGCAGCCAAAATCCACAAAGTTAAGGATTCAAGTCATTTTGTATTTCACGTCGGGCCAGACTACCTTGAAAATTCACAGCAACTCTGCCATTATAAAGTGCATATTACTAGGTAATATTAATGAAATACAAAATATAGTTTTTGTGGGCCATGACGGTTAGCAGAAAAGCCTACACTTCAACTTAGATGAGTTCCAAGAATGGGTTTTGTAAAATCACGGGGTGGTCAAAGGTTTTTATGAAAGAGGGTTTGACTGACACTGTTTGCGCTTAAAAAACGCTTTTACCGTGTTGATCACTGTAGTTTGTTAAAGTGGACTAGAGGAAACGAGGAATTATATTGTGCTTCGCCAAATAATGGTGACCACTGCGTACACTCACTTCCGACTGTAGTGAAAACTGCTCTGAAGCAGTTGTCAGAATTAAAATTAGAATTTAACAAAAAAAATTGTGCAGAAGAAGCATGCCCTCCAGTAACCCTGGTCGAGTTTGTCACTAAGTCTGAGTACTCTTTGTGGACGGCATGCTTTCATTTCTTAACATCTTTTGCTAGAATTGACATTAAAATATAGACACATTCCAAACATTTTGATTTCATGCGAAGTATAGACTAATGTGAATCAATTTTTCATGACTATTCGAGACCACACGCAAATTCTAACTCATCTGAGGAATGGACCTCTGCAATGTCTAGTTAAGTGATTTAAAAATAAGAACGTGTTTCACAAGTTAAATATTTACTGAACTTTTGTGAAGGTGGCTTGTTGTTGGCTTTCCTGTGTGAAATTTCCGCTGTGTCGCTTGAAAATGAAGTCAATTGGGAAAGTTATACAAGGACTAGGAAATGCTGCTGTCTGACGTGCAGAACGCATGATTCAACAAATTAAAGACTGTCAACCGCAACGCTGTGGCTCATGACAGACGTGGAACCAGTCCAATTACGGTTAGCCGTGAAATTTTTATCTTGAGGGCCATTTCTATTACTAGAGTTTGCAGTACTAGGAAATATTGACTCCAAGTGGTGTACAATAGACTTGGATGATGGGTATTAATTACCTGAATTTGTTAGAGAGGCACCAACATCGAGACTACAGCATGGCATTTTAATTTAAAGGTAATTTTGTAGTGCTAACCTACCGAACCACTTTTCTTTGTTTGAAATGATCAAATCAGAGTTTGAATTTGTGTTCATTCAGTCAACATTGTAATGCCTGGGAAAAAATGTTAACTGCCTCAATACCCATTTTGTGATTAGGCACAAGGTTTAAAGCTAACTTACTCATCTTCTTGTCGGTTAATGGTATTTTTCTTTTTTTAAGTGTTGATTCTCTCATTAAAAACGCCGTACTGTGGCATATAGACCACATGAAAAAACCACGAAGGCTTGCTATTGGATAAGATAATTTTTTTAATAATCTGGCATTAAAAATTTTATTTCATATCTAGCGTTCAACATTCGTCACCATTTAACTCAGGTGACTAAACAGGCTGTTTGGTGGGCGTGAACAATTAATAATCCTAAGTCTCTAAATTAGAACACTAATTGAATTGATTTACATAATTTACAAAGCAGAACCTAGCTGTTTTTTTGCCCTATCACGCCACAATCTGGTCCAACAGGTGTCTGAATTTGTGTCTTGATGTTTTATTTACATGAATACAGACTCAATGACAACTCTGCGCACCGTCGTGAACTACCTCTAGTGGTTTCGTGGTTATGTGCTAATAGAAACCTGGTTGTATGGCGAATTCGCTTGGTTTCAGCTCGATTCGGTGCATCTCAGTCGCTCATTTTAAGAGGCCACAAAGATTAACGTGACTCGTCTCTAGTGTAAATGCAAGCTGCCGTAGCAAGAATCCAACTTCTGCGTCCGCCACCGCAAAGCCAAGACTCATCTGGAATTGAACTGTGGCGACCGGCAAGCCAGCACAGTTGGCACTCGTGAGCGGACGCAGTTTGCTAGTGTGAGCGAACGCAAATCAATCGATTTTTTCGTGAATGCACTGCAGTGGACAGACAGCCATCGCGCGCGTGAGTGCTGCGTGTGTGCTTGCCCGAATCTATCAATGATTCATCCTCTTTCTTATTGGCTCTTGTTAGCAGTCGCTCACAGAAATTAGTTTACTCGATTTTACGCGACTCGACTTGATTGGCGTGTCGCGAATAAACGGTCGTGTTCCCTTTCGACTCTGTCTTCCCTCTTCTCGGATTGTGACTGGCTGTTATCTATAGGGTTTTGTGGTGGTGCTAATTTAGGCCCTTACAAATTGGCGACCCCGGCGGAACAATGGACAAATTATGCCGCGAGGTGTCTAAGTAACCAAATAAGTACGTAGAAAAAACCAAGTGATGTAGCAAAAGTTTTTTTACCTTAGTTTACATGGGCTGCTCTCTAACATAAATGTCCTGGTTTTCTGAAATGTAGTCAACGCTACAATTTGAAATCATAACCTAGTAACCAACCAACCAACCAACGAGATCGTCCATTGCATAAGGCTTAAAGTGTACCGTTTCAAGTTTGCGTCATATTAGAGAAACATGGTGGTTAAAAGAAAAGTAAAAAAAAAATCAAAGAAATAGGTTTGTTAATAAAAATTACAAACGTCGTTTTGAAAAAAAAATGTTACTTATTTTAAACAAGATTCCCTGAGTTTGGTGATATTTGAAAATTAGCCAATTATCTTTAGTCCCCATGCTTTGAGATCCAGTTAAAAAAGGCCACTTTAAAATGCAATTTCGGACCTACAGGTGCATTTATAATACTGCTTGAAAAAAAAATTATACCATTTTTAAGTTTAGACATACTCTAATTTACTCTGATTTTCTTTCGACACATACGTATTTTGAAAACATTTCATTGTCACAAAGCCACTGTAAATCAGAATCCAAGACACCGATTAAAACAAATTCAAATATTCTTGGAATATATAAAATGAGGTAGACTACTGCACAACTTAGTTGCAAAAATAGACACAAGAAAAGGTCTTTACTTCGGCGTCTTATATACCAGGGAAGAAAATACTCAAAGGTTATTCGCTGGTGCGTTTGCCCGTTTGATCTTTCAGATGGTATCTCGGCCAATAAATTAAAAGGCCAGGACAGCATGCAACAAAGTAGTTACCTACGACCACTTTGGCGCAAACAGCTCGCATCTCCAGATCTTATCAAATTCCTTCAGCCTTGGTCTTGTACAAGAATTCACTTCGTGTCATGGGGTCGCACTTTGCAGAAACGCAACGCTTAACGCGTATTGTTTGATATTTACCAGAGTACCTAATCACTAGACTACAGTGGTGCTTTGCGCTTTCCACAGACACCCTGAGATGATTTCGGGTGAGGGTGTGATGTTTATTATGAGCTGGTTGGATTTGTATCCTATCTAACCCACTCTCATTATGAATCAAATGCAATATTATGCACTGGTTTATTGTGGCCGCAAAAACGGCTGCTGACAGGCTAAAACGTGTGATTTTCATGACGATATGATTGCAACAAATCAATTATTGGGTGATTTATGGCAGGGTTTTCTTTTGTTACATGTAAATGGACTAGTTCAGTGGTTTTTAGCCCCCTATCTTTCATATTTTATAAGTAGGCCTGCCCAAAAAGTAATCCCAAGGCCTGGATAAATCAGAAGCGATTTCAGCAGCTAACGACGCATCTTTTCAAAAGTCCTGCTTTCACTGCCTTGTCATCAACAACGCAATTGTGATTTTGGAAAGTACCACAGTTGCACTAACGCTTCCTTTTGCGAAATAGCAGTACACCAAATTGTTCCTTTTTACGCTCGAGTTGGCTCAGGTTGAAGACAGCGCCAGTAATTTGCTGGAAAAAGACTGGTTTTCGCCAGAAGTTTTCCTTTTGGATGTAGAAAGAAGCGAGCTAGTTGCTCGGCAAACAGCCGCCTTCCCGAAACGCTTTGCCGCGCTTCGTCTAAACGGGCAGCAAGAACAACTTGAAATATTTTCGCGTATTTGTGCGATGCAAGGCTGCCTAATTTTTCCATGCGGCCGCAGTAATGATGGTGCTATGATCTGATGCTGTTTCACCACATAAAACATGCTTAAGGACATCCGCGCTTACAGTAAAAATTTCTACCTAACTAAAGCTCGCCTACATATTTGCCATAGCTTCAACTTCTGTTGCGAATCGTGTTTATTCAACCCCTTAAACCGGTCGCTCCACCTCCGACAGGGTTCCCCTTTTGGCAGCATGCTGCCAGCCGTACGGATCATCAACTCTCCCCTCATTCACACATAGGTCTCGATGTTAGCGCATGTATGAATCACACATCTGAGGTATAAATGCACACGCACAAACCCCACACACGACACACCGACACCAACATGGTTGAGTTCTGAAGTAAGTGGTTGTGTCCACGTCCTCTCCGATCTTTTTCTTCATCGCGGGTATCAGGGAAGTGTAATCGGGCCAGGGTTAATTCCGTGGCCCTGGTTTGGTTCAAGACCACATGCTGGGGCCCACGACACTTCCATGGTTTGACAGTTGACGATTACAGGTAAAGTAATGGGTCCTGATAACATGGACATTTTTTTAAAACAAAAAATAGTTGGATTTTTTAAGCATCATACCTGCGGAAGATGACTTGTGGTGTGATGTTAGTCGGCCTGAAAGATTGGCCTAATGTATTACATTGGTTATTTAAGCAATGTCTTAGGTTTTCGTGTATATAGTCGGGAAAAATTTCATGCTGCTAGCATTTTAATAACAGGAGTTTACAAAGACATCCTTGACAAGAAAACTTATCATCAGTTAAACTCAATTCTGTACCTTAATACCATGTATTTCCAACTGACGCAACGGTTTGTCAAAATCCTCCCAGGAACGCTGGTTCTCTTATTCCAACGATAATCCTAATTGTATGCAGTCGTAGCTCGGTCGCTTTCCTTAGCTGCTAACTTCAAACGTTTTCAACCGCAGTTAACCACCGTGACTCCGCCTTGTGCCTGGTCCAGAATAATGATTTATTTAACTGTCTGGATCATCCCAGCTAGTAGTTGACAAGCCCAAAACACATTCCATTAAGTCGAAATGGCAGTTTTCTTTTATTCTACTGGGAAATTGAGTTAAATTGCAGATAATTCACACTAAACTAATTAAACATTCTAGCAAAGCTAAAATTCTTTTTCACGTCTTTGTGGAAAACTTATAGGCAAATTAGATTCGGCAGTCTATCCCAATTTGGTTTGGCAGTTGGGGATCAGTAAAAGGTGCTGGGGTTACACGACCTGCTGCGAGTGAAGGTGTACGGCCTCCGACGATGGACAATTTTCCTGTTAGTGCAATTGACATGCCGTGACTCGTCTAACTTCAGATAACGGAATCACGGATACCAATCAGCCTTTCATAAACCTATTCTGACTAAATTCATAATTGCGTATTTACATTATGGTGCTAAAAATTGTGTGGAAGATAATAGTCCCCAGACGACTTGTTTCGTTCAAATACTTGACCGTCGACTGGCACTATGGTCAGTTGGTATTTGAAAAAAAAACATCTCAGTAACCCATTAAAGGAATTCATTTTAACTGTTCTTCGGAGAGTAACCAATCTCAGCACTACAATACGAAGCATTTAGCCCAAATTTTGGTTTAAGGCAGTTGTATTAAATTAGTTGCGAATGTATAGTTTCCCCATTAATGCACACCTCATGTGCAGACGGGATGAAAATTGCCAAAAAAATGAAATAATTATATACATATTGGTGTGTGCGCAGGGATTAGACTTTGTCGGAAAAGCCAAACTTGTATACCAATGACTGGTTTTGTATTTACAGCTTGGATCAGCGCTAAAGCTAACTGTTGTTATCACTGAGCACTGAAAATTCGATCCGTCACATAATGTAAATTCAACGTGGTGAATTAATATAAGTAAATTCTTTGATATGAGTTGGAGACACATGGCACAATGAAGCCTTAATTACATAAACTTTCCCATCGTTTTCGCTATGTGTTTATATAAATTGTAAAAAAATACGGTCAATTAAAGCACAATTAGACAGCCCTCAAGTGTTTAATCTATTGACAAACCATTTACTGGATATTAGCAAGACACTACGACCTTCAATTAAATCTATATAATTAGAATCGATAATCAATGTCGTAGAATACGTCAATCATTATATTGCAGTTACTAAGCTGCAGGTACACCAGCTTTATTTCCTTACGAAGCTGCAATGGCTTTGTAAATTTCAATTTTTCTACTCACGGAGCATTTTGTCCTTCTGGATTTGAGTCTTTGTCTGGCCCGGAACTCGTTGTCCTCATCCGACGACCTCTCTCCACCAATCACAAACTCGCCGTTACCGATACTGGTCTCCCGCCGTTGTTGGACCCGTTGCCTCAATCGATGAATGAACGCGGCAGAGATCAGATTAGTCCTCACCTGAGGCCCAAACGATGCGCGCTCACGGAAATTCGCCGAAGAGGGGCCATAGAACGCCATCTGGTCCTCGAAGGAGAGAGGGTATGGTTTTGGTGGGACGAAATTCATCGGAAGATGGCTTTCTGGTTGCTGAGTGACAGTCTCCTTGCGCACAGTGCTGACAAACGAGTTGCTGAACTGCTGAATTACGGCAGGAGGAGGAGGGGGAGGAGGAGGGCAAGGCAGATCAGTTTGTTGAGCTTGGTCGGTTTTGCGCTTTGCTGTAGACTGAAGTCGCTGTTGATGCTCATACAATGCATTCCGCGAGTCCTTTTCAAAACAAGCGCCAACAAACTTAAGTAAAAGTGTCCTGATAACAATTTTATTCTAAGATGCGGGCTGTATGTTGTGCTTTTTTTAAGAACTTGCCAGTGGTCTGCACAACACGAGGCCCAGTAGCACAAAGAGTTTTGACTTATGTTTTTATACCCGTGTGGAAATTAACGAGCTAATTGTATAACACAGCACGTTTATAAGTTTTTGTGGGGCCTCTCATAACTGTGTTTTATTTATAAGCATTCCTCATAAACTTACCGAGCAATTATTCATGAGGCATAACTAGATAGACAAAAAAACAAGACGAGGACAATGCCCAAGTGATCCATTTGTTGCTTTAAATGGAAATAAAATTGCACAACAGAGGGGCATGTTTGTGCTGTTTTATTCCCAGGAACCCGGTTCTAGGCACGCTTGCTGACATTTTCAGGCTGACGTTTCAATTATCAAAGACTACTGCAGTTTTTTTCCTGATGCAGCAAAAGTTTTGGTTGAAACAAACAAGATTTGTATTATCTCAGGGAATTGAGCATCAAATATGGGTGCGATTTTGGTATTTCTGAGTTAAAAAAAAATTTAAAATTCAAGGAAAACAGAGAGTAACGCATAAATACTGCGGTGCATACAAACAAGACGGCCATATTTCATGCGGGCTTAAATTAGATTTGAGAATTGGGCGCCAAATTTAAGGTTTTTTTTACATATTCATGTTCGAAATAACCAAATTGAGGGCAGAATTATTGAAACGATTAATCACTGACTCAGGGGTGCAGTAACCAGAGCAAAACAATTGTCAGCGGTGTACTAAATTTTAGTTTCTGCAATCAAAATTACCAAAGAATCTTTAATCATATTAAGTCAGTCATTGGATATAAATTGCAGACTCAAGTCTAAAGAAAAACGAAGTGTACTTAAATAAAATCAGGCAAACTAGCCTTGCTAAATTTCCTGCCTAATTCTACCCACAACAAAACCTAACTTGTAGGTGGAATCAATCTCCATAAACGACACATTTGTAGACTTCCCTGAGACAAAGGGGAGGAAAGCAGACCTTTTTTGCTGCTGTGTTTATCAAGACAGTATCAAGTGTCCTATTAACACTTCCACATCTCCTAATTATAGAAGAAGGCGTAAAACAACTGTCATCTGTGAGAAATTAACATATTAATCTGTGGAATTACTGAAGAGCATTAAGGTGGGCATTGAGGTATGCGTTATGGCTATGGTTTGTGCCCTGTAAATTTAGTAAATAGTGGACAAGTGTGCTTATATTCTGTGGTGATTCTGATTATCTACCCTTAATCCGAGGTTGTAATTATACGAATTCCATTTTTTGATTAACGCAGCATCAACATCGTGGTTTCGAAAGGTTTGTTCTCTTTCCATCCGAGAAACGCCACTCCTTGGCTGTGGAAATCATCAACAGTAGCTGGTTCTCCCTGTAATGACCATGGCGAATTATAATTTTAGTTCTTAAATGTGACATTATGATAGTTTTGGCATAAAAATAGCGTATGCGGAGATAAATTATGCCTCTTTGTTAGCCAAATAAAAGTGTAGGTAGTAATCAGTCTAACTTAGTTTAAAGTTTATTAAAACAGCATTAACCAAAAAAAACCAAAATCGATTTGGTAATTTTCAATTCTAATTTAACGTGGCTCACATAACATATCTACAGTATTGTTTAAAAACATTTATTGGCGTCCCGTTTAGATCTCAGCATCTGCCAGAAATTCACTGCACCTCCTCTAGCGCATGAATTTTTGCGCAGTTAGCAGGCTTCCCCACTTCGTTCCAGTGGTTGCACGCTCATAACCTGTTCTGAATTTCCAGCGTGCAAGTCCAGTAGAATTGTGTTTGACGAACAAATCTATTATTGCGCGTTACAAGTGTTGAAAAAAGCCGAATGATTTGCTACGCCGCCATCACAACTAAACCCCATTGCCACACCAAATTCTGCCTGTTGTGTTACTTTGATGCCACATTGTCGAAGTTTAGGGGAAATTCATTAACACTTGAAATCAGTTGAATTATTTGTGTAAAGATTTAACGGAATCAAGTCCCTTTGCTCGTGCCCTTTCCCCTCACCAAAAAAACTGTTGACTTGTGTGGTGGACAATAATGGCATCACTTATATTGATTTCATCGTCTTGGTGATTTTTTTTGGATCGTCCACTTACTATTTAAAGGGAAATTACAGTAATACTCTGTCTTTCTAAAATATGTAGATTTTATCAACAAGATAGGGGAGTGGAAGTAACCCAGCGTGAGTTTACTTTCGATAATGTGAAGCCTACGATTTTCAGAAAAAAAAACCACTAAATTCGTTTAATAGAAACCATTTTTAGTACTAGACACACCGTTGTCGATTATGCTACTGTTGATAACCGACATTTACGCCAAATGTCCCCTTTTAAGTTTAGGCAGACTAATCCTTATCAGCAACTCAAAAACCAACCAGTAATAGTTAAATTTAATTCTACAATTTAATTTTCAATTTTCTACAAAAAAGTTTAGCTTTGTTGATTTCTTTCACTTGGTTCAGATGGATTGTCTCATTCGAATAACAACGCAGGTACCTGGTAGTTTTTTAACTTATCTTTTTTGTAGTACATAAACAGAAATTTTAGCATTCATATTGTTAACCAATCCTAAAGGCACATTCGCACCAAAAATCGTTTTTTTTTCGCAAACATTGGAAACTGCATGCAGCGCGTGTTTTGAAAAATGCTCTTAAGTTCTCTGGCCCAAATTAAACGACTGCGTTAACTAAATTAATTCATATTAAGATCACTAGATTTGTTTTAATTTACTAAATTTAGACACAAGTCACTTCCACATATGTTGATTAATTATGCGTCTACGTTAACTAACTGAGCATTACATTACGTAACTTGAGTATCCTTTCATGTGACTTGAGAATGCCAAATTTATACGAATTCGTATATTTACGAAGCTACAAAGCACAATTGGATGACTATTTAGTAGTTTACCTGCAAAAGTTTGTCTGGGAAAAATTTTCTACTAGCACATCACGCAGGAAGACTACAGGAAGACTCCTTTTTGCCTGCAAGGTCGCGTGAACATTCATTTAATTTTTAGTTGCTGTTTTGAGTGATAATGACTAAAATTGTGAAATTTTGACATGGAACTGAAAGTACATCCATGTAACCATGCGGGAAAAAGAATTAGCACCTGCAGTAGCTGCATAAGGCGATTTAGTTCCTTTTCCTTGAACTGAAGGTCAATTAGCTCGGTTTCAAGGTCGGCGCCTTCGAGTACTTTTGCTGAGGGTAATGCCGAGGGGTCTCGCTGACTAGCCGAGATCGTCGACTGTGCGCCTCCGTGTCCACTTCCAGCCAGACACTTTGGCACCGGCTTATCAATAGGTGATTCCTTGACAAATTGTGCAAAATAAAGATGCGGATAGTACTTCTAAAAAGCTAGTAAGCAGCAGGTTTGTTTGTGCACTGACATTCTAAAGAAAAAAAGGCTTTAATCCAAATGACCGCGAAAGCGATTAAGTACCCGCATGACTTACGTATGATATGTAATCAAGTTTGCCGCTTCAAGAAATTAGATTATCTGCTTTCTACAACTCCGACTAGAGTCTGAATCATTCGTTTTTTTTGCGCGATGTTAATTTTATCCGAGGAATTGGATATATTCGAGGGTCCACACAAATCGCACCTTTTTTTAGAATGAACCTACGCACAGTAATAGTGCGTACCAAAACAGTTTGCTGTGCTTAAGCGGTATTTTACCTGGGCAGGATAAAAGCACTTAAACCCTTTCATGTTTAGATACCACCACGAATCTCTATACGCTTTCGCTAACTTAGCAGCAAATCCATTTGAACTGCTGGAAGATGTCGTATAGTATATGATGAATTGTGCAACCACCTTATTGATTGTAACTCAACGATGTAGACGGCTTTAAAAGTAGTCCATTTCAGCTTCTCACAAATTAAGCTATGCAAGTTGCGCGTTGTGAGGTAAATCGCCACAATTCAGCTCTCATCCCAGAATTCATGGACACACACAGCGTTTTATTACTAAGCAGTGGCAAAGTTCTAATGGGCATTAGATCTAAATATAAGCAGTTATGTTAAATAATGAAAGTACTATTTTGTGAAAGGGCAAATAAAAGAAGGTCTTGAATGCAAAATGCAAATACCGGCATCCCGAAATTATGCACAAATGTCAAGATAAGGACATTATCAGCCAAATGATTCAGTGTGCCAAGCACATATTTACATTCACAATAAGTAATGGTTGCTGAAATTTACAATAGATGATACCGTAAAATCGTTGCGCCTTGTGCAAAATGGAACTTACTGTTGACCAGTGAATTCGCGACATCTTTCCTGCATGTTAGATCGAGTTTTTATCTAAGAGCCAAAGCAAGCTGAAGTCAAGTTTCCAGAAGTACTGCATTCAGGTAGGTGGACGCAGGTTTCAGCAAAGTAATATGCGTGTGCAGTTATCAAGAGGGAACAACATTTCCTCGTAGACCTAACTTACCCAACAATCCAATTTTGCTTTTACCTTTGGGCACAAAAATCTGCAAATTAAGCATTTTTTTTCTGCATATTTAAGAAAACACAGATGACTGTTTATTCTTTACTTAATGTAACACTACAACATGTTAATTGACTTGTGCTAGTTGACCAGAATAATCACTAATACAATGCTGCATTAATGAGGGTCACTCTTCATCTAGCTAGAACTGGCATCGCTATCAGAGGTCGGCAAAACAAACCAATAAGTGTCCACATTCAACTGAACCTGTATTTAAGAGGTTACGCCTCGACTTTATGAAGACATTATCAAATACACACGTGCACTTAGTGATTCCCCTTAGACCCTCATGTCTGCCTAGTAACTAATAGTAATTTCTACACTGTTGGTTGCGATATCTTGTAAAATACCTATGGTTATTCATACCCTCAGGGCGAAGGTAATGTTCTAACCTTTTATTCAACAACGCGCATTGCTTATTTAACTTTTGTGTTTGCACAAGATGCAGTCTGGTACTATCTAGAACATGGCCAAAAGCCACAGTTAAAGGAAAAATTGACTGCAGTCTTTGATGTGATCACAAAGGCCCGTTTTCGGTTGAACGCTACTTGAGTAAAAAAATTAATCCAAATTATAGAGAAAGGTCAGATTTGGGCCAGCCTGAAACAAAGTGCAACGAGGAAAATCCAAAGCCCACATCCATCCGTCATCACGTACTTAAACGCACCTAAACCGAGTCAATAAACTAGTTTACCACCTAAACGTCGTTTGTATCATTTTAAACTGCACTAGAGAAATGATTATTTGGTCAAATATTTCAATTTTTAGATATAGTCCTGTTCGGAAACTTTTCGGCATTTCGGGGCATTGCAAACATTTCCATTTCAGTCACTGAATGAAACTAAATTTACACAAAACAGACGGAATCTTTAAAGTCTGAAATTATAATCTAACACCAGGTAGTTCAACAAATAGCAGTCAAAGGTGTTGCCTCACACCCCACACCCAAACGTTGCGATCTTTCACGTTTTATTTTACAGACTAACATGGCCGTAAAGAGGATCGAAATCAGCCTAGGGACAAACAAAGGCCAAATCTCTAAATCAAGTCGGCGCATCATCAACTCGGTTTAAGTGATGTTAATCCAGTTATGCATCAATGTGCATATTAACCATTTATTAACTGGTGACCTTTAAACCTAAAATAACCTTTACTCATTTTATTTATTTCGTCCTGGTTGTTCCAACTCCATGTCGTCCTTGTCCTCAGACAGGCTCCAAAATCAGTGCAAATGCCAAAATCACACTGGATTTCGACCAAACAATGGGCTACGAAGTACCCGAAGCAAAACGATGTAAACTTACATGTTGTTAGACGCTTAGCGCACACCAAACCAACTTTTGCGGCTGGTTTGTTCTCATCTGGCCCAATGGCGTTAGAGATTACAATTCCCACATTTTTAACATGGCCTGGGATTTTAATCAGGCAACTGGGTTTCGACAATACGGCAACACCCATCCGGAGTAGATTTCAGAGATTTTAATGAGGTGATAATACCGATGAATGTTCTCGTTACAATGAACAAACAACATCTATTTGACTAGACTTCAGTTTTATTGCCCCTATCACATTCGATCTGCAAGATCGGCCACGAGGCTGATACTTGCAAACATTCTCATCGAAAAGCGGTTTTAGTGTCCTACAAGGCGGAAATGGTTGGCACTTCTTGAGGTTCTCGAGTTTTTTAAACAGGTTTCCCAATTTATGCTTACTGATTACACGAGAAGGTTAAGTAGGCTTCTCATAAATTAATAACCAGACGTGTTCCCTCACGCGTTTCCCGGGCGAAATTGTCATTAGTCCGAAAGTACTCGTTTTTTTAGCAAAATGGGCTGCCGTCAGTGGGGAAGCATCTCTCGCAGAGCACGATTTTGTTCTTTTAGAGTTCTTAATGCATCCTAATGTGTGTGTGTGATGCAAGAATGAATAACGATATTTTAGTTATAATCAAATTCCATTTGATCTGCGTAAGACCGATACTCGAAGATTGTAAGTTAACACCAACTGTTGCAAACTGTCGAGTTGGGAGAGAAATTTTGAATGCACTCGACCTCTTAAAATGCCTAGGTTGTGTATAAAAAAGCAACAAACTATTCACTTCTACCATCCCTATTGTTTATTTGAACCGGATCTGAAGCAGGCTTTAAATGTGTTTGCATACCCTACACTTCCGATGCTCTACTTGGATTAATATTTTAAAATGACTAGGTTAAGCCTCAGTTACTGTGAAGGGCATTTTAAAGGGCTAGAGTTTATCAAGAACAAAAATCATTAAATTATTTGACAGCAGCACAAATGCCGCTGTCAAATACTGTCCTTTTTTAGCCTAGTAATGGTCTCTGTGAGATTATTTACTTCTTGCATGGGTAAATGACAATGATAATGCTAGAAAAAGGCAGCTAGTGCTTTTGATAAATGATAAAGCAAACAAAAGGTAGGCCAAAAGGGTCCAAATGCAGGAGGCAGTTTAACAATGATTGATGCTAAGCATGCAGTTTGACTGGTTTGTAATAGAGTGCAATCCATTTTTCCCTGAATTAGCTTAATTTACGAGAATGGATCTCAACTATAAATACTAATGGACGGCAATAACTTTGCGTCATCCCGATTTCATGCTTTCGCAAGAGGAATGTAATTCAACAGTAACCTTCTTCGGATTAGAAGGAATTAACGGCAGTATTCATCAAAATGCAATTTAACTAAGAACCGGTAATTTTTGCTGCACTTTCCTAACTGCCAAGGGGTTGAGAATGCTCTTGTCTTAGCATTATAACAAACTGCGTAGCGGATTGTCGTGCCTTGAATACGGCAATACCAAATACGATCAAGTCGATTTGCACTTCACCCAAGTGCGCATAGGACTGCCCCATCATCAGTTGATTTTGTTGTTATACGCATACCTTAAGCAAAGTGTACTTGCCTGCTTCAAGAACTCCAGTGCCCGTATTGGGCGGAGTTAATTTCGGTTTGCAGCCTAACAAAATGACCTCTCAAAAATGATTCGACGTTGCTTGGAGCGACCGTCATGGAGCTCATGCTTCACAAAATCTCTCGACTTATGCACAGTGTAAGCGTGAATTATTAATAGGATCCTAAGTGCCTGTTTTCATGCTTTTTACCACTTAAGCAACGCTATTTTGGGTAGCAGGCGGGTATCCACACGATGCCTCGAGTGCCACATCGCAGGTCTTTAAATACCCGTTTTAACTCTGAGGTAATCTGCAATAAATATTCATTCCACAAATATGGCCTACAAGTCAAGCCCTACTAATTCTTAAAACGGTTACCTCCTTGACCGGTTCCTTCGTATAATATCCGAATATTGTTTTTTCCATAGTGTCCAACAGGAGACTTAATTGCATGCTATCTAACACACACCACTCCCAGCTCTGGTCACATTTACCTGGGCGTGTTCATGATAAGCATTTGGTCGGGTGGTGAAACGTGCGCAATCGTCATGACGTGAAAATGTTCACTGCGTAAATTTTTTTTGTTCAACAGAGGACATCAATAGAAACCATTCATAGCCATACCGTGTCCGTGTTCCACAGTCCGTTGGCGTGCACAGGAGACTGGACTTCACTCTCCACCATGGGCGCTGCATTACCGTTTTCAGCTGTTTTAAGCGACCGCTTCCTGCGCAAGTTTGTTGGTCTACAGGTACAGTTACAGGTGCACATGCTAGCGGGTATGAAAGGCAGAGGTTGGTATCGCTCCCGATCGCCGTTCATAATATCCCACGTCTTGCATAGCTGCCACGAGATCGCCTCTTCACTCTCACACCCCAGCCACCAACTTTAACTCCCCTCAGATCCCACGAGTGAAGGAGTGTGTGTGTGCGCAGTGTGTGGGTGTTTGACTTTCTACTCTGAAGGCCAGCCCAGCATTTGAGACCAATCAGTGGAAAGGAAGCGGCTGAACCAATCAAAACCCGAGTTTTGAGTTTATGGCGTAAGTAGGCACTCTCATTCGCACGTGGGAGAGGTTGGGGAGTTCCATCAAAATTTGTGGCACGCAAAGATGATCCTTTGATGTACGAAGACGGCAATTAGTGCGAAAAATTTTTTTGTATTTGTGCATTCCCAGAATAAATTTTAGTATTCGTGTGATATTAAGCTGAATTTAACCGTTGGTAAGCAATGCATGGCTTGAGACGTGTACATGTCAGCAAATCCTAGTCTTCGGTAAAGAAGCAGTCTTCAGGCGAAATCAGCAGATGCCCCAACTAGCCATCAAAGTAACTGCAAATAATTGTGCGTCTCTATCTGATACCGCCTGCCTTGGGGGACCTGCCAGCCGGTGTCGAAATCAACGGCGTTGGAGTGCAATAATCCACCGCTGACGATCATCTAATTTGGCAGACTTAAGTCAGCCTTTTAAGTTCAAACATGCTACGATTTGAACTTGATTTAGCGTTTTGCAGGCCTTTATGGAAATTCTTTAAATGAGGTTTTAGAGAAATCGCCTTTTCCAAGGACCTGCTACTTTTGGCTTCCAGTGAGATGCATTTGTTATTACGCTGTTTGTTCATTATTCATTAAGATCCAGTTAAAAACGGGTTTTTCAAGTGCACATTAACTTTCTAGGAGGGCCTTTTCGTTAGCACCGCAAACACTTGCATTCCCATGTGTCTGATCGTTCTACACGCTTTCATTTTGAGAACATTTTAGACCAACGCGGTCTTGCGATCCGTCACCTGCTTCAACAACTAGGCCATATAGGGAGGCACAAATATTATTGAATAAAATCTAAGAAAATGAAGCTAAGAAATTGTGATTCGGAGTTCTCAAAGCACCGCCCAGACCCTTAGCCCAAATGTTAGACTTGACAAATAAATTGACTTCGCCGTTGCTAAATTCACCCATATTAACAACATCTACCTATGCAGGATCATTCAGGATTCTTGATTTTTCACAATTTATATCAATGTTTTCACGAAAAAAAAGTTGGCGTCATTTGTCTGTACTATCTAAAAGTCGAACCACGTTTTACGGTCAAATTTTGCTTTTGATGAACATTGCAACCATCTAAAATTGAATACAAGCAACATTACTAAGCTACTATATAGTAGGCCTGACATGTTCAAGTCGTCGGGACATGTAGGAAAGGTATGTTGCCAAAACTCATACAGGGTGACAGCCTGAGTTCTTGTATGGAACCACGTGTTCCATCGTTGTGACATTTGCCACCGAATGTAATAAATTCATTCTCAATAGGATCTCTCAAGTATTGTGCTAATAGGCATGCCCAGGGTACATGGTAAAGCTGGATTTCCATTCCCCATTGCCCTGCTTGGAGTTAAATATGTCGAATATTGGAACGCAAATGGGCTTGTAGTGGCTAGAGGATTTAGCACTACCTTACAACCCTCTAGTTAACAGCCCGTAGCTACCCGAGGATAGGAAAAAGGAG